TCCCTTCTCTTATTATTTTTAATTATTTTCTCCTTAATTTTAATTCTATCATTGGAATTATCAAAATTCGAGGCTCCATCTCCCCATCGATAGGCTGATGTAGAAGAGTCGTGCCAAGGTCTACTCCCATATTACCGTCCCACGGCTAGCCATTTCGGAAATAGCCTCGGAGCAGGCGAAAAAAAGAGGGGGGGGTCAGCGCGGTTGAAGCGGTAGTCCCTCTTGTCAATCTTGAGGGCTACTCCCAACGGTCGACACCTCCAATCTTAGGGGCGCTCTGGGTCCCCCTAATTTTGCTGCCTGGTCAAACCAGAATACCGTCATTGCACGGACTTGTCCTTGTGCCTAAGTTCCAAGACTGCACTTTCAGGCGGCCCACTAAGGGTGACAATGTAGGCCCAGTCTATGTCCCCACTGTCCCGGGACGCATCTACAGTTTCCAGCATAGGGGGGGATGCCGCAATCATGTCTGCTATCACCTCCCAGTAGTGTGGCGGCAGGGTCACTGTCGATTGGACGTCGTTATTTTTCAAATGTTCGTGAAGTACCCAATCGGCAATGGCCTTTAGCCTTTTTTGGGTGACCTTTTTCAGAGACCTTCTGTTATCGTTGGGTTTCTGCGAAGGGTCAGGCGGGGGGTCCAGTTCCATGCTCTGTTGAGGGGCATGCCGCTGGCCGGTGCCGGCTTGTATCTGGAGTAAGTTCGGCTGGGAAGATGGTAGCCCCTTGGGGGGTGCGTCCGAGAGTTCCATAGGAACCGGGGGATGGTGCAGTTCCCCCGGGCGGGGCAGTATAGGCATCCTTGTGTGGATTTCAGTGTGCTGCTGTGTCGGTCGGTGGTGTGGTTGTTGTTGTGGTTGGTTGGTGGACAACCCAGCTATAATGTGTCTCACCTGGGACTGCCACATTGTGAAGCCCGGAAGGTAAAGCTGTTGGGCAACCGACATTGTTTCAGCCAGCAGTAAGCATTGTGGGACTATTCCTACTGACTGTTGGAGCTGCGCTGCCCAGTGGAGAATGGGGCCCTGCTGAATCGGGCCCTGCACATCTACACAATTTGGCGCCGATTGTTGCTGGTGAGGGGAGTAAACCTCTGGCGGGAGGGAGGGCAACTGTTCCACTTCCATTTCCTGTCCGAGGTCTCGCAGATCTGGTTGCATGTCGGCAGGGAGGAGTGGGAGGACCTCCATCTCCATCAGGTCACCTTCTGCAGAGCGGGGCACATGATCTACCAGCTCCTGGGCGTATCCAGGGCGGTGGGGTTCTGGGAGGTCCTCCACTGTGGCGTTCTGCATATCACCCATGTGGACCTCCACCTGCAGGGTGTGACTTGGGGAGAGGGGGGGAAGGTCAGTTTGGGCCTTTACATCGGGGATGTCTAATAACTGTTCCAATTCTCCCTCCCCAATCCCCCTTATTTCGTGGGCCGGGTCCCCATCGTCATCTTCTCTCAGAGGTGCAGCACGGGTGAGGAGATCTGTGACATTTCCTGGCTTTGGGATTTGCAGATATTTTGTTTACCCCGTGACTACAGAGACCACCTCTCTGAACCCTGCAGTGTCCGTCGGTTTGTCCACCGGATGGGGGGGGCCAGTTTGCTGGTGCAACAGATGCAGTCCATGGGGAGTCAGGATTGATTCCCCCTCAGTCATCGGCTGTTTATTCGACCGGTCTGTGCAGAGGTCGACCCCAGAGTGTTCGGTTGTGCGAACGGTCAGGTTCCTGGGTGGCAGACCGATGATGATAGAGTTTGGGGTGCGACCGTGCATATCTGGGCAGGGTAGGTGCTGTCTGACTTCTGGTCCGTTCATGATTGCCTTAATCTTGGATGTAGCATTCTCAATTCGGCTGTACTTTGCCATCGCCTTGACGAGGCCATTCACCTTGTCCTTAACTTTCCCTAGTCCAGAGACCTCGTCTGACTTATGGTCCGTGGGGGGCAGCAGTGTAGATTTAGGCGATAGTGGTAATAGAGGTAGAGGTGCCTCAGAAGGCCGTTCAATCTGTAGTTGGGGTCCGGCTGCGCAAAGTCGGTCGGTCATTTGTGCTAGAGCTGGTCGGGCTGCTGTTGCAGTGTCATTCGCCGCAGCACTCTTACCTGTGGAGTTCCCCATCTCGTGATCTGCTGGAGCTAGCACAGGGCCCTTCAAGGGGGGGGCATTCCCCTCCCCTAGTTTCAGATGTAGTTTCGGGACGTGTGGCGGTGGTGCGAGCTGTTGCCCGAGTGCGCTCCCCCGTGTAGTGTTTCCCATGTTGTGATGTGGTGGGGCTGGTTGGAGGAGCAAGGGGGGAGGGCCAGGATCCCTCAAGGCCGGACCCATCCCCCCGCCTGATTTTGGATCCGGTGTGAGGATCAGCGGGACGGGTGCAGGCTGTTGTAGTGCTGCATTCCCCCCTACAGAGTTCCCCATGTTGAGATCTGCTGAGACAAAGGTCCGGGTAGCTATCACAATGTCATTCTCAGCAGGGCTCTCATCTGGGGAGTTCCCCATCTTATGATCTGCTGGGGCCAGTTGCTTCAGCAGGGGGGGAGGCTGAGGGTCTTTCAAGAGAGGAGCTTTCCCCTCGCTCGGTCTTAGTTCCGGTGTCAGGAACTGTGGCACGAGTGCCAGCTGTTGCATAGCTGCAGTCGTCCCTATGGAGTTCCCCATGTTATGGCCTGGTGGGGCTGGTCGGAGCAGCAAGGGGGGAGGGGCGGGACCCTTCAAGGGCTGAGCTTTCCCCTCGCCTGGTTTCAGTTCCAGTGACGGGAGTGGTGGCACAGGTGCAGTTTGTTGTACCGCTGTACTCCCCCCTGCTGAGTTCCCCCTGTTGTGATCCGCCGGGGCCGGTGGCCCATGTCCCTTGGCGGGTGTAATCTGTCGCACAGCTGTACTCCCCGCTGCAGATATCCCCCTGTTGTGATCAGCCAGGGCCGGAGTAAGTAGCAAGAGGGGAGGCTCAAGTCCCTTAACGGGATGGACTTTCCCATCGCCCTGTTTTACAGGGCGGGCGCGGGCATATGCTGATGGATCATCACCACCCCCTGTCTTGCCCACCTGCCCCGTGGTTCGAGACTCAAGGGGAGGGGGTAGCACATCCTTCTCCGGCTTCTGAAGGACATCCTTCACCACCATCTCCGCCGACTTTTTTAGCACTTCCTTCTCTGCCGTCTTCTTTCTTCTTAGCAGCGGGGTGGATTCCTTGTCAGAGTCCTCCATCTCCCCCTCCTCTTTGTCTGTTGTTGACTGACGAGGGGGGAGCCGGTGTCCATCTCCAGCATCAGGAGCAGCGACGTTATTATGCGCACTGTGCCCTGTTGTAGGCGGTCTGGGGGGAGGTCCATATTCTTTATTGTGAGGCAAGTCGGCCTGTTTTTGCACGTGCTTCACTCTGAATTGGAGTCGCCCTCCCCCCCTTCCTCTTCCTCTACCTCTGTGATGGAGGGACCCCCCTGTTCTGTCCCCTCTGTAGTGATTATTGTGCGTGCCACGGGGAGGTCTCGACGGTGGATGTGCATTGCCCCGTTGTCGATGGCTGGCGAGAGGATTTGCAGAGCCTGCGTGAGACGTACCAGCAGAGGACGTTCACGTCACCCTCGTTTGCTGTGGTAGGGGGGGCTGACTCTCTGCACTTCGTGATTGCTGTTTCGGGGACACGAAACCTTCCGGGGATCTCTCTGGGGATCCAATCCTCTCCCACTGCCATTGACCTGTATATTGACCGTCAGCTGTCCGGAAGACCCAGCCCTCCAAACTAGGATCTTCTGGCACCCATGTGTTGGGCTCCGTCGGGTGTTGACTGACGAGATTTTTGCGGAGTTTCTTGTAATTGGCCGGGCAGTGATCATCCGTGTACAAGTGTCCCCTTGCCTTGCATACGTGGCACCACGGGTCCTGCGGGTGGCTCAGCGGTATGGCAAATTTTCTTCCTTCTGAATGATAGTGCCATTCCCCCCTTAGGGGGAATATCTCCGCAGGGGGCCAGTCAACCGCAATGAGCAGCGAGTCGTCTCTTTTTGCGAGAAACTGAGGCAGGTCATTGATGAATCCCCTTATCGGGGTGATCTGTTCAACCATTTTGAGTATCTCACCCTGAATGTGACTTGGGGCGAAGCTAAACTCTATCCAATAGTTGTTCGCCATGAGGTGGTGGCGCCTGTCCTCAGGTGATAGCTCCCTCGGAGGTTTCCAGCGGTCTATCTTCACCAGGGAACCGTGGAACCGTGCGTTAGTGAGGCGCAGGAGGTTTTTTTATCTATGAGATTGCGGGCCAGCACCGTCACAGTCGCCACCGTCGGGGATTCAATAAGGAAGTGGTCCTTGGCATCCTCCACTGACATCTTTTGGGAGCGCAACACTTCGAAAACCCATTTGAGACGGTTGTTCAATTGTGATCTGAGCGCTGCTTCAGGGAAGGAGAACTGAACCGCATGTTCTGCATAAGTCTGGTTTCAGATGGCGTTGGCTTGGGGGGAGATGATAGACAGCGGGTGCAGTGTATTCCCCCTTACCTGCACTTTCCTTGTAGCTCTCCTGTGGAGTTTTTGCACGAAGTGGTATCGCAGGGGGTGCATTGTGTCCAGGCCCATTTGCAAGTTACAATCGCGTGGATTCGCTGTTCTAAGAGCAGCGGCGAGGGAGGTCCCCCCCGGTTGGGCCGGGATTTGACCATTCTTATCAGTAGTAAGACGCTCCCCGACCACTTCATTCCAAGGTTTTTTTAGGGTGGGCAACTTGTCCTCTGGCGACGAACCATGTTTGTGGCTCACCTCGCCGGGACAAGGAGCGTCCTGAGGGGCTGGCTCCCCCACTGCATCTATATCGATCCCCTTACCATGGTCCCGTCCTGGGGGGCGGGGTTGCCTTGATAGAGCAGGCCAAGCCATGCCCAAGATGTCTTGGCGCACCCCCAAGGGGGTGTCCAGGCGATCCTGTATGTGTTGCGGGCAGGCATCCTTCTCTATCCAACTGGATTTCCCCTTTCGCTGACCCTCTCGCCCCCGATATGCATGCCCTGGCCCTGGCGGATTTGAGGGGGAGGGAGTAAGGGCGGAGCAGCGTCCATTTGGACTTTGTGTGATTGGTTCCCCTCGAGGGGGTGGGAGGGGTGATGGAGAAGAAGATGAAGGGGTGACGAAGACGGAAAAAGAAAAAAAGAAAAAAAAAAAAAGGATCAATACAGAGAGAAGAACAAGGATCCCTGTTTCGTAGCTTCTTGCACCGCAGCCCAGAATAATGAAGAAGAACTTAGACGGGTCTCATCTTCTCATTAACAGGCAGTCGCTTTGGTCAGCATGGGGATGGATAAGACTTTTCGAACGAACGAGACAGAGGGTAAATGAGGTAGACCCTGGCATTCACAATTCCGGGATTGCCGAAGAGATAGCGAATTTTGTACTCATTCCAGACGTAAGAGTGTTGAGAGTATGGAGGGAGAGTAAGGAGGTGAAGGGAGGGTGGGGTGGGGGGGGGGGGGGGGGGGGGGGGGGGGGGGGGGGGGGGGGGGGGGGGGGGGGGGGGGGGGGGGGGGGGGGGGGGGGGGGCGGAGTCGCTGAGTGGCAAGTGTTGATACCGCAGCTGTTGTTATAGGTTGAGTTATACGTTGTCCATGTCACATCCTCCTTCCTCCAGCACTGTTTTTCATGGTGATGATGTGGGGAGCATACGTAGTTGTATGTCACACCCTCCCTTCTCCGGTAATAATGGTCGTTCCCGATCTTCGTGGTTGAGACAGTCAAGCAGACGTGGTAGAATCGGATCCTGTTTCTCCACCAGTTGTCACCCCCGTTATTGCTTCGGCCAAGAAGGCAGAAGCGAACGTCGTCCAGCCGGTGAAACGCGCTATGCCCGCGTCCCTACCCTTTCACTCACGAGGCAGTGAAAGTTAACCACTGCCTCCTACCACCGATCCCGCTCGTCCCCCGTGCCCCATCCCCCTTGACAGCCCACCGTACTCCGATCTTCTCAGTAAGGGCGGCGGTCGAGGCAGTATACTCCCCACTCGCCGCCACAGCTGCCACGTATTGTCTCCCCGCCTTTGGCCGTTGCCACCAGTGTATCTGATTCACACCTGCCACATCGCCAGTCATCAGCCGGGCATGGCCCCGGCCAGCCTCAACGCAAAAAAAAAAAAAAATCAAATCCAAAAAAATCTGAAAAACAATTAGGTTGTGTAGAATTGCAATACAAACAACTTTTGGCTGAAGGTCACATCAGAATTCCTCACAGAACTAAAGATAAAAAAGAAAATAACCATATCATACTAAGGCACCCTCCTTTAAACCCCTTTAGCCTTTTTAAATTTCATTTACACTCCCCTTTCCCCCCCTTGACAGCCAACACTCGAAAAAAGAAAAGAGCCCAGATTTGGGCTCCTCTCGGAGAGCGCGGAAAAACCCACCGCCAATTTTTTTATTTTTTATTTTTTTGCCATGACCGGGTCACCTGGGCGTTAGACCCCCCGGGCGTCACGCCCGGGGGACCGGCCGGTCATGAAAATCTTCCTAGTAAACAACATAATAACCTTGAGGCGAGTCCAAAGACAACCCAGGAAGAAGGACCACTCTCTTCCCCCACGTTGACAACACAGGAAGTTGGCAAAAGACAGAGAATGAGGAATGTATTGGAAAAAGGTCAAGCGGTTAGGCCGCAGCCACCTAAGGGCAACCTCATCCTTCCTGTATGGAAAAAAAGAGGAAAATGGGAAGTGAGACTTTCTCCAATAGGCCAAAATCAATACGGGGGTGTTACACTTAGAGGATGGTCTACATATGTTGAGTACCAAAGCGTGGGGGATCGAACGTTCAAAAGAGACATGGGTGATTTCTTAATTAAGCACTATGATCCTGGTCCTCAAGCAACTCTCACAGGAACTGGGGACAAGGCTCACATGGCAAAAAGGGACACGTTTGTCCGCTTTGAGGAACAAAAAGAGGCAGGGTTGAGATGGTTCTCTCACACAGCTTTGCTAGAATTACAAAGCCTGAAGATCAAAGCAAATGTGGTGTGGTCGGCCTCAGATATTCTTGTCTTTCTTAGTATAATTATTCGCAGAGGAATTCTAAAGTCTGCAGGGGATCTTGATAATGGATCCTGGTCCCGCCTCTAAAACACAAAGGGAGGAGGTCCTTACATAGCAGGAGGCTAAGATGAAAGCAATTAATGCATATTATGGAAAAACCCCATCCTGACAGCTTGCAATCAAAACAACAGATTTTGACCTCAGATCTATGAATGTAAATCGCCTAACCACGACAGACACAGAAAAAAGAAAGACCATATTGGAACATTTGAAAGGTGTGGGTGGCAGGTCATGGTATGACATAGTATGTATTCAGAAAACTCATCTAACTAATTCTCCTATTCATACCCGAGTCCACAATATGGTTTGGTCGTTTGCTAAGCTCAGTGCACCATCTCCAAAAAGTGGGTCAGCAGGTGTAGCAATTTGGGTACCACCGGAATCTTGAGCACAAATTGTCCAGTGGGTGTCAGATAAGGAGCAGGGTCAATGGATATCTGCCATCTTCACGATCGGGCCAGATGCTATATGCGTAATGAATGTATATGGGTCAAATGAAGTTGAAGAAAAAATCAGATCCTTTCAGGACATAAGAACCCATATCCCGGTAGGGATGTCATGACTGGAGATTTCAATGCAGCTCCGGATAGATGGCTGAATCGTTGGAGGATCCCCTCTCCATGTCCTCCTTATATAGAACAAGATGAGATTATAATATAAACCTTATATGGAAATGAACGTCTATTTGACTCGTACCGAAGAACCTTCCCACGTGAAAGATTATTCACATGTTTACGCAATCAAGGCAATCGCCTCCAGTCCAGATCAAGAATAGATCTAATCCTGATGTCTAAAGATCTCGAGAGAACCCTTATAGGAGCAGCGATTTTCCCACAAAGACCATGGGTCGCGACAGATCATAAAATGTGTTCAATACTCCTTTCCTTCAAAAAGAAACTGGATCAAGAGAAAAAAGTATATAAACTAAACACATCTCTGCTAGTATACGACAATTTTAGAAAATACTTAGCAAATGTACGAGAATACTGACACTCGACGGAAGAGAGACAATACTTCTTCATTTCTTGGTTTAACAATGGGTTGTTTTTTCTTGTAAAGAAATGCAATGAATTTTCAAAATTACAAGCAAAGAATAAACGTTTACAGGAAATACAAATTCAAGAACAAATTCTCAATTATGAATCTCAAGATCATTTGAATGACTCCTCACAAACTATTGATATCCGA